TCCAAAGTCTCTGACTCTAGAGAAACTATCCATACATATATAAATCTTAAACCGGCAAATAATTTTCACAAGAACAAGATAGGACTCGAGAGACCATTTACCATGAAATTACTACAACGTAGAACAAAAGATAAAACCAATTCAAGAAATATAGAGTGCAAAATTGTAGTTTCCAGCCCTTTTACAGTGCAAAATTATAAAAATAAAAAGATGGAAGTTGAAAATTACGTTCAAATAAATCTTACCCATGCCGTCGTTGGTGTTGAGGTTGCCGGCCTGGGAGTTATCAGCTTCGATTTCCTCGACGGGTTCAACATAAAATCGCTCACTTCCGACCGCGAAAGATGGAGATAACGTCATTTGGTTCATGCTCAAGCTCCTGTCGACGCCGACGTCGAAGTTGCCGGCATCGTCGAACGGATTTGGCCATGAATCCATTTCAGTTTTCGGCTTCCAGTTCCAAGGTTTCGTGAAATGCTGGAGAAACTTTTGTGTAAGAAGGGTCCATTTTGTCTTGTCTTTTGTCCTCTTTATTTTCCACTTTTTTGGTTTTCCACGTTTCTTACTCGACTTTTGTAAGAAAGGTGCATTTTGCCGAGATATTGACTTTTTCAAACACTTTTGCCACGTCATGAGGCTGTAGAAAATTCTGTATCATATTTTGTACATCTAGCCTTTTCCAAAATTATATTTGATAGAAATAAGTTTGATGAACTTCTTTTTTTTTCCATTCACGTGCAATAACAAGAACTTAATATAAAATATTGCCAAATATAGAGAGTTCATTATTTCACTTATTGGATCCTTGTCATACACATTCAAATAATTGTATCTTGCCAACTCATATTTCAAAAGATTCCTTTAGTATTTAGGTGTCTCCAACTTAAATTTTAGTAAATCTCAACTAAATCTAAATCTCATCAATAACTTGTGAATTTATAAAGATTTCATTAATTGAAAGGATTTTAAATGGGGAAAATTTTATTTCTAAGATTTTTACTATATACTATTTCAAAAATAAGAAAACAACTTTCAAATTTCTAAAATCAGATATTTGACATATACATACATACATACATACATAAACCCACCCCCACCGCTCCGACGACTATTCCGGTGACTACTCCGGTTCGGACGATTATTCCGGTGACCGTTCCGGCAACTATTTATTCTGGCGAATGCTCCTATTCCGACAATTGTTCCAACTCCAATGAATATTCTGACGACAACTCCGCAATATTTTTTTTTTTTTTTGGTACATTTGACATGATATAAAATGTGACCTGCAAATTTGAACCGTGACTCTACAAACACATGTGACCTGTTAATATTGATTTGTGACCTATAAAAAAATACCTATGACTTGTGAACTCAAACCTGTGACAATGATTTGTGACCTTAATGATGAATTAATTAGCCATAGTTAACTATTAAATTAATTGATCATACTGATCCGTGACCCGTCTATAGATATGTGATCTATACAAAATTTTTATTGCTCACAACTCGATTACAACTTAATAAATCATAAGTCACAGTAACAATTTTTAGGTCACATATTATGCATAGATGACAAATCCAAAATTTTATTGGTCACAACCTATTTATTTTATTAGTGACATTCTCAAATTAATTAGCCACACATTATTTTTTGTCACAAATCACATATTCTATAGGTCACAACTTGTTAAAATAATAGGTCGCGTAATATTTTTCGATCACAAGTCACAAATTTTTTTATTGATCACATATTATATTTTTAGTCACGGAAAACCAAAATGACCAGATCTACCACCACCACCCCTGCACTATCGCCACAACCACTACCACCGCCTCCACGGCAACCACCATGCCAACATCACCACCACCCAAACACCACAGCAATCAGTAGTAACATCACCATTTCCAAAACCACCAGATCCCACCAGATCCGCCACCACAGTTACAACCACAGAAT